TTACTTTTGTTCTGGTTGAATTTGGGCTTTGGTTTTTTTGAAGGCCAACCATATTAATGTGCATTAATATAAACCATCCCCAGTCTAAGAACAGGAACTATTTTTTTTCTCCTTTTGATGTTAAGATGGATATACAAGAAGATTAATATCCAATTTATTTTAAACCTTTAATATGGTGATAGGATGACAGGTAAGGTGATCATTACAAAGCCTAATTTAAGTAGTTGGATAGCACTAATTAATTGATCTATTGTGCTTTTCTTATTATATAAGACAAGGAATGCTCAATTTGGAAAGTCTTAGCAGGACTCAGAGGAGACTTACTTCACTGTGAGCAGCGTGAGGAACTGAGACCATTCTCTAAAGGGTTGGTTGATCTCTTTATTTATGATTAACTGGTAGACTTTACTACAGTGTCATGTTATGGAGAGTTAGGTGCTAAAAGAAATCAATCCACTCTCTGCTTTTATGAAGCATGCACATTTTTGGAAAGGAGTTTCAAATTCTGCCACAGAACTGAGAAGGTAGGGAGAGGCCAGGATTGATGAAATTCGCAATTAATTCTTTAAAATGAGATTGTTTAGCATGTCCTCCTCCTTAATGAGCAGTTTTCCCCCCTCCAATTGGCAAGACGTCTATATTGGATTTTTCATGTGTCATTTAGAAGCGAGCACCATTCCCTTAATGATGAAATCTGACTTTAGGCATCTTTCCTTCTAATTAATTTTGTTCTGGTTTGACCATGCTTCTTTTTTTTTAAGTGAATAAGTTTTATTTTTGAGTTATAGAAAAATTGAGCAGATAGTACCTAGAAAGTGTCCTGAATAAATTATAGGCAAGATGAAAAAGAAACAATGACCATTGGAGATAGTTTTACTGAGCGTTCTCTAAAGCTAAAGGTGATCGTAAAACTCTTGGGCAGCTTTGACAAATAAAATATGATAAACCAATCTTCTCCACTGAAGGTTCTTACGGGAAAGAGAAACGGCTGCTGTAAGCAAGGGAGATTTTCATATTCTCTCTGTTTTGAAATCTGTGAATTTCAAGAAGATGGGATTATTTTGATCTAGATTTCTTTCCTGAGGTAACTTGAATTAATAGGCATTTGGGTTCCCATCAAAGTGCCCCTGACTTCTCTTATTTAACAAATGAATGTCCAGGAAAGAAAAAAAAAGAAAAAGAAAAAACTACTTTCATGTCCAGAAGATATCTTCTGGAGACTTTGAAATTTGAGACATCAGAATGATTTCTCCTTTACGATTGTTGGGGGAAGTAGCACGTTTATTCTCTAAGGGAACCGAAGCATAATGGAATGCATTCGAAGAACATGCAAACTTATTATCTACCAGGACGGCTGAATGGTTCCAATCAAATGGAGGCTAGAAAGGACGGTTTTATATTTGGATTTTGGAAAAATGACTCCGCAGTTATGTTTAGGCACAGCAGTGCCTGCAAATACCTGAAGTTGTGGCAGTCTGTGGCTTCTTCATAACATAATGAACATATTTGCTCTTTGAAACATAGTATGGGGTCTAGGCCAAAAGATCCCCAAATATTCTGGCAAACAAAGCAAACACATGTCATGGTGGATGATAAGACAACAGGTGCTCCCGACTAAGTTACAGTTGGTATTATTTTTAGTGGACATTTTGGAGGGCTGCTTTGTGCCAAAGACTACTTAGAGGTGTCAGACCTTGTGACTGAAAAAAACATTAAACATTTTATTTATTTTTTCCACCCTTAGAAATTGCTAAGAAGTGGTAATATAACATTACTGGCAAAGAGCATCTTTATGAGAAATTCTCCTTTCTAGGTCTCCCTGGATAGAAGCCTTGTTGCCAGGGAGCTAACTGTTTAAAAAAAAAAAATGCGCTTGGTATCACTTGCTACTTAAAACTTGTCAACAATTTCTCATTGTCTTTTGGTTAAAAATCTGTAAAGTGGTGTCTAACCCTACAAGAGTTCTGGCTCTGGCTAATCGTTCAACTCCAACTTGTGTTCCAGGGACTTTGCACAGGTTCGTCTGTCTAAAATGAATCTTCATCTTCTTCTGTCCAGTTAAAGTCTACCTGTCTCTCAGATCCCAGCCCGAGTGCCCATACCTGTAGGAAGTGTCCCTAGCCTCTCAGACTAGGCCAAACTCCATCGTTCTGTACTTTCACAACAGCCATGGGCATGTCTTTATCACAGTCTTAGCTGTCTGCCCCTACTGGGTTATTAGGGCAGAGACCATGCCCATTTAAAGGGTCACCACTACATGATCGTATACATTGGAGGTGCTCAATGCATGTACAGTATATAAATAAATGAATGGAGATGAGTTACACATTCTTTTCCCTGAATAAATTTTCTAAATACTTAACATGGTCATTAGCATAAGCCAGTTTGTTCCCTTATTATAATTAGTAAGGAAAAAGAAAGGTCAACTTTCACTTTATTTCATGTCAGTGATGAGATAGTTAGATGAAGATAAAGGTTAAGTATGTGAGCTTTCTAATCCTAGAGGCCCAAGTTCCAAACGTGGTTCTACCCCTTATTGGCGGGTAGAATCATTATAATGATTGTGGAAAGTTACTTAGACTTTCTCTACATCTCCGTTTCAACATCTGTAAAATAGGACAGACCTGGGTTTGAAGCCCTGATTCGCCACCTACTAATTGTGTAACTTGCTTTAAGTTAATAATCTCTCTAAACTTCAGGCGCTATAACTATAAAACGAGGTCAATATTCTCTATCTGTTTAACTCTGAGGGTTAATAGGAGGATTAAATAAACATATATGCGTGTGTATAAATATTTAAAATGTATAATAAGTGAACATATGTCTTTGCTTATAAACATATGAAAAAGTGCATGTGGAGTAAAATCCATGTGGAATAAAACAATAAAAGCAAATTAAAACAATGGTACAATGATATTTTCTTTCGATCAATCAGAATACCAAAGACAAAAGATTGGTTAATGCATGTTGTTGGTAACACTGCAGTTAAAGACACATTCTTGTACACTGTTGAAGGGCACACACATGGTGAAATACCTTTGACACCACCTAACACAACTGCAAGTGCACACACAATTTGACCTAGGAATTCTTCCTTTAGAATTTCATCTTACAGGTATGACTGTACATATCCACAAAGAATTATACACTAGGATGGCGAAGCAGCATGCTGATAACAATTATTGGAAACAATAAAGAGGTCAGCAATACAATAGGACCCGTTGAAAGTTACGGAACTGGTGGAATGAAATATGATATGGTCATTAAAATGTACTGACAGGGAATTATTTCATGATAGATTAGTTGATGAAAAAAAGCACAGTAAACCACAATACAAATTGTGTTAAAAAAAAAATCGCTCATGAACATCCAATTGTTTGAAGGGGCACAGGTTTATGGAAATCTGTGGTTGTTCTTTCTCCTAATATTATTCAACCTTAAAGTTGGATGGCCTCAGAGATTGCTCTAATAAGAAAGATGCAGGACAGAGAACGGCTATGTCGGGAGGGTTTCAACAGAGTGGGAAGAGTTTTGTACACTGCAAATGGTAAACAGACACCAACCCCCACACCAAGAGTCCTCTAATGACTGGTTCCTCGTAACTAAATGTTCTTAATTTTTAGTAAGAACATTTAGTAAGTTTTAATTCTTAAGAACTAAATGTTCTCTCCTGGTACTAAGGGTCCTCATAAGAAAATAAGTAGTATCTCCATTTAATAGAAGAGCAAATGAGGTCACACATCAGCCAATGGTGAAGCCAACATCGGACTGATGAGTCTCAGTCTGGAGGCCACAGCCTTCCGCACGTTTCTAGTATGTTGTCTCCCTGCAGTGTTTAGGGATCCTCTTGGTATTATTAATTCACTTTTCGAGTCCTGATACTCCCTGTTATCTCTGCGCAAATAAACACTCTCATTAGAAGTGCAGGTCTACCCTTCACCAATGATTGCATTTGAAGCTGTGTTTGGTGATTTCTAGAAACTCCTTTAAACCCTGTTTGCAGTTTCCCCAGTTTTGTTTCACCGTTTTCCCTGAAGAAAAGACTGGTTGACAGACCTATGAGCCCCCCAAGTGATCTCGTGGCGATCACCGTCAGCGTTTCCCATACAGAAGGGCCGTTCAGGGAAGAAACACATCTCCAGGCCTTCCAGGCTTGGAACTGGATGAACCATAAAGAAGGCTTTATCTTTAGAGGTGCTCTGACTTTGCCAATCAGCGTAGAGAACATTACCAAATGCTGCCAATCTATCTGTGACCTAAGTTTGGGCCATTCCTTCAACAGTGCTGGAGAAGGTAAGGTTAGAGCTGATATCATCCAAGTTCTACCTACATGCAAGCACTGTACAACCTGGAAAATTCTCAAAGTAATTGCTCCCTCCTGGCAGTGCTCCCCATTCTAGAATACTCTGAAGTCTAAGTAAGGCCTTTGGAAAGGGCTTAGGTGGTAATGAATTTGCCCAACTAGGGACAATCCATTGGTAAATGGATATTTTTCTTTTGAAATTATACTTTTTATTAAAGGTATTTAAAGGCGTGAGACATTTTTCAATCATTCCACTGCGATGTAATGGTTAATTTTAGGAGCTCCATGAGTTTGATTTGTGTTTAAGATTTTTACAATCTATATATAGGTTGGTCTTTAATAACCATTTATATATTGCTTCTTTTTATATAGGTCATGTATTCTCCTGGGAGAGTAACAAGATTAGAAATAACAAATACAGTACAGAATAAATTAAAGTGCTTCAAACTGCATTATATAATTTCAGAAAATTGGTTTCACACTGAAACGTTTAAACAGGAAAACCAAATGATTTAAGTTAAAAAAAAAAATCTCGTATATGCATTTGAATTGCCACTGTTCAGCAAAATTTAACCCCAGCAGTGTGGTATCTTTTCACAGTGCTCCAGGAATGTGGCAGTTCATCTGGGTTAATATGGATCAAATTATTATTATTTTTCTCTGTTTCTGGTTATGTAAAAAGTTGGCTACCTTCTCCTTGAAGACGAATAGCATTTATTAGTCAAAACGTCAAAGGCCTACTGTAAAAGTAATTGCATTTTTCCAAGTAATTCTCCCAACTCTTATACACAAAATGTTCTTATTACACTCAGTGCAATAAATTCAGAGGCGGGTATAAGCCAGGAGATAGCAAAATTGGGGCTAATACTTTTCTAATTACTTAGGCTAATAAAAAGTGGGGCTTGGGTTTTCCTTGCGCTACCAAAGGAAGGAGATACCGCGCTCTGGAGAGTCTGTTATTCTGGGTGGAATTTGTTTGTTTGTTTGTTTCTGTGAAGTTTAGCACGGCTCTCCCGCCCCCGCCCCGTACCGGTCTTCAGGCCTTCTTCAATTTTTCTATTCGTGCATTAAAGGCCTCTTCCCGTATTTGCAGCTTTTCGTTTATCTCGGTCTGTGAAGACAATCATAAAAAAGTGGTTATGATGGAGCTATCTTGCGCTGCACGCCGTCTTTGTGGTTTTGACATACTATAGTGCCTAAAGACAGACATTATCCCTCACACACCTTCCTGTTTTGCAGACGTGGCTGTGTTTCAGCCTGCAGTGATGTGATAACACTTTATCATATTTCTCGACACATTCCCGATGTATAGCATGTCTGCTATGAACAGGAAGTGGTATTTGGACAGCCATTTTTCACATAGCCTTGTGTTGGAAGATAGGATGATTTATCTGTATTTTCAGACAGACTTTCCCAATAAGCACCGAATCCGAATAACTGCTTTGGGCTCAGTTATTGCAGCGTTGTCGTCCCCCCCCCCGACCCCCACCCCTGGGCAATGGATGTTTTTGTCTCCCTGTAATACATTCTAAATGAGATCCCAGAAAGCGTCTGTTGTGAAATAACAACACAAATAATCTCACAATTAGAACAATTCTCATAATGAAGAGTATTCGTCAGACATTAGAAGGCTTGGAATGATGCCACTTTGTGGTATATTTTTGGTGGGAAAAGAGTAAGCAATTGCTGTCAGGTTTTAGTGATTGCTGTGGCTGTGATAGCATTTGGCCTCTGGCAGTGATATTCTGGGGACTAACCTTGCTACCTACACCATTCGGAAACACTTTCACATTATCTGAACATTAGTGGCGCTGGAAAAGTCTTCCTCTTTTCTTGATGGATAATAAAGGTACATACAGAGAAACTGGTGGTGATGACATGGCAAAATTATCATTTTTCTTGTTGTTGTTTAGGTGATTAAAAAACGTCTCCACCAAGTACATGAAGAGTGGTTTATATACATATTTGTGCATAAATTCCAAGTTTAGATTATTAATATTTATAATATAATTGGAGGTCCTTAGGGTAAGTATACTTTGATAAACTTTTATTCTTTCACTTTAGATGGAAGAAATTTAAACAATCAAATACTTTTGCAAGCCCAAGTATAATTTTTTTTTTTTTTTAGAGACAGAGTCTCACTTTATTGCCCTTGGTAGAGTGTGGTGGCATCACAGCTCACAGCAACCTCCAGCTCCTGGGGTTAGGTGATTCTCTTGCCTCAGCCTCCCAAGTAACTGGGACTATAGCCACCTGCCACAATGCCCGGCTATTGTTTTGTTGCAGTTTGGCCGAGGCTGGGTTTGAACCTACTACCCTCAGTATATGGGGCCAGTGCCCTACTCACTGAGCCACAGGCACTGCCCTCAGGCAGGTATAAATTTTGTATTTATTTGCTATTATTTAAGAGTGTTAACTATGACAGGTAGTTTGGAAATGTCCATGCTGCCTCATCTGATCAGATTTTATTTTACCTCACAGTAAGAGTTGATATTTCTGGAAAGATCATATTCATGTCACCAGTCTGCATTCAGAGTTCACAAGAATATTAGTCTCTTCTGGTTCAAGTTCTATTACGCCCTAAGATCAAGCTCTGGCCTCTGGTTTCTTATCTTTTCCTTCCTTGGTGGTTGTGTAGAGGAGGCCAGGAGGGATGAAATGGTTCTCCAGGTTACAGAGGAACACTGTCTTTCCTCAGGATTCACTGATCGCCCCATCCGTGACTGTGGGAGAGTTGACAGGAGCACTGGTCTAGGAGTGGGGAAACCTGCGTACTAGTTTAGCTGTGTAGCCTCAGGCAAGTTACCTAGCTCTTGTCTGAAAAACTAAATAGGGGAATGGGATGATGTTAACATTACGCTTTAGTTTTCAAGTTCCTCATTCGGACTCCCAATTTTGTGATGTATTTCACCAATGTTGTCTTTCATTGACATGATGCTATGAAATATTTAAAAAATTGCTCCTCTCCTTCCTTGTCAGCTGAGGGCGGATGTGCACTTATCACCTGCCGGCTTTGGTTTCACTGCCTCACCAGGGTGTTCACATTAACCTGGGGGCCTTTCGGGTCCCTCAGTTATCTGACAAAATAGTGTGGGCCTTGGAGAAAAAATTCATGAAGGTGAGATGTGCCTAAAAGTGGTGTGCCAGCAGAGCTGGGGAGTACTGCCCCAGCTCTAGACCTTAGTGACTGGTGCTTTAGTTCAGGCCCAATCAACAGAACCTGGACCAACAGACTCCATGGCTAGACAAGGACAGGCTGTTACTATCCGGCCATGTCTCTTTTTCATTCCTCAGAACACTGCTGAACAGACAAGTGATCCCATAACCTCTAGGGCTAGGTCTGGTTCTATTTGCTTTAGGAAACCGGGGAAACCCATGGCCTGGGGTCAATAGCCTCTTTGACTGCTACCTATAGATGATCTCACTTCTCAGCTTTTATAACCTGGAAAATCCAAGTTGACCTAAAAATACCCAGAGTTCTAAGACGGCCAACTTCCCTCAAAGTTTTCATGTTATTTTACCCTATTCCTTCGTCAGGGCCAAGTGCCAACATTTAAGGCAAGAATTTAGTGTTAGCATTCACATTTCTCTGAAAGGTAATTCAGCAACCATATTAAAATTTGCTCCACTGGGTATAATTTTTATTATACAACTCTGGCCAAAATAATTTCATTTTGAATTTATCTTTAAAATTAAAATACCTTAACTATATAGGCTTAAAATGTTTGCTCTATTCAGTATAATTTTAATTAACATCTCAGGGCCAAGAGAACTTCATTCTTAATGAATTTCTAAAACTAGAAAGTAAGTCAATGGGAAAAGAAGCGAATGAACATGAAAAATTTAAGAATTCACATTATATTTTCAGAAATTTCTATAATGTACAGGGTAAAACATGCTTAAAACCATACGGGGAAAGAGCTCTGAAAAAAAAAATGGACTTAAGACATGAATGCTCTACTGCTTTTTCCTGCATAAATTGTCATAATAGTATGATTTTTAAATAAAGAAAGGGAAAAAACCATGGGTAAATTTTAAACATCTTACAAATAACAATTCATGAAATGGCCCCACAGCAGGTCAGTGTGTTCAAAGGGCGTATCTACCCTGACTGCTAACTTCCTTTAGGGGTATAGTAGTTTTTAAGAGCCAGAAACACTGGAAGGCAGGTTTTAGATGTGGAAAATGAGGTAGCCATCTAAAACAGGAGGAGAAATTTCAGTGAACAGAGAGTAAATTACCTAGCTTGGAATTTGACCAAGACATAGGGTAAACACTGAAAAAGTGCCACACCGCTGGAGTATTAAAATCCAAAGTAGTCTGGTCACCATATTAGAGGTTGTGTGGTTTTTGTGGGTAACACTGGAATTAGAACTAGAACCCAGTTCACGGCTCCCATTCAGGGCCTTTCATTAGCTGTTGACCCTGGAAACTCAGGACAAATGACTTTCTGTGTCTAATATTTCAATTTATCAGGGCAAATGCCTGCCTAACTTGTGTGAAGTTTACTGGGATTACTCAGAGAAAAAATGTACAAAAAGGGATTTGCTATCTTGAGACATTATGCAAACCCATGTCATCGTGTCATTTCATTAAAAAATTGGGTGCAAGCTGGGTGCTGTAGCCCAGTGGTTAGCATGCTGACCCCGCATACCAGGGGTGGTAGGTTCAAACCTCACCTGGGCTTGATTAACAACAAGAATAACAAAAAACTGGGAGTAATTAGGCCCAGGCTAATGTCCACAAATTCACACAATATGGCAACGATCGTGGCATGCATAGGGTCTGGGTTTTCTCTACACCTAATTACACTTAGGTAAGCCAGGTAAAGAACTTCCAAGATGTCTCAGGCCAATGGGAAGATAGCACACACACGCAACAATGATCATATTTTTTCAAAGGAGGGGTATAAATACTACAGACACTAATATTTAAAAGAAGAAAAGTGAATGGATAGTTAGAAGCATACTGCTCACTATATGGAACATGGCCTTGATAAAGATATTTTCAATCTTGGGGCACTGAAAACAATCCGATTACTGTCTAGTGGTTCCTCAGAAATAATTTCAGAGCAGCAGGAGCACAAAGCAGCCCAGGGCCATGATTATACATCAACTATATTTAGATGAAATGTTATCAAATCTAAAAAGGAGATATGTTCTGAACTTGAGCTTACTTCAACTGCATTCTGCCCTTTTACACAGTAACCAGTTATTACATTCATGGGCTTGTTAACAATAAAGCTTTGTGTGAAACGTGTTCTTCCACTATTTCTGGTAAACACTAAACACCCCTTATTAAGCCAAGGACTTTGGCTGATTCTGTTGGCACCAAATCATTAAACGTTCATGTAAATGGTGCAATAACATTTGATTATTAAACAAGTAACAAGGTATGCTTATGCCAAGCTGATCTTTTACTCTTTCTAAATTGGTTGTTAATACAGTGTGCTGTTAATATATGGTCTCATGTTCAGATGACAACTAAATCTTCCCCAGAGAGGCATTAGTATTTTAAGCATGCACTATGTTGTCCTACTGATTTATGGTCATTTCTAGAAGAAATTGAAAATTTATTCATAATATTCAATTTACTTATTTAGTCATTTGGCCTAGAAAATCATGTGAATTCCTGTAAGTCTTTATGTTGAGGTAGAAATGGTTGTTTGTTAGATGTTTGGACAGAAGGAGAAGAATTAAGCATAAAGCTAAGCCATTTCATCAATCTTGGCAGCTGCTACTGCTGCCATGGCCGTTTTCCTGTAGCCATTGGTGTAAATTGCTTAGCCATTAGTGAGATGTTAAAAGGGATAAACTGTCCGAGAGGGAGTTCAAAGACTTGAAACCTTTTCTTTAGAAATTTGGCGAGAAGATTTAGCTTAGGAATTATGGTTCAATCATCAGTGTTTACCATTTAGAAATGTGCTCCCATAACTTTTGCATGAGTGATGTTTATAGTTGGACAAGGCATGAAGCCTTTACTATGTTAGTTTTTAGGTTTCAGTGTTGAATGATGCTGTAAACCGATAACACCCACCACACTAGATGCTGTTGGCAAATCTACTTTGTGACCTTACTGAATATCAGATGACTAAACTGAGAATTATGTGACGATGTTAAATTAACTCCATCATAAGCATCACTCTTGCTGGCAGACTGTGGGTAATATTTACAGACACTAAGACTGAGGTTGGCCAATTAACCAGTAATAAAGTAATTGAGTATACTATCAACACTCCGTACCTGGAAGCCCATTAAAATGTCATCTGTGACTCGATCCAGCACTGACTTTACATCTTCAATGGTGAAACCAACTAAAGCTTCCATGTCTGAAGTATCTTTTTCTGGCTGGGACTCCTCAGGCCCTTGTTCTTGATCCAGCTCCTACAATATTGAACGTAAACAATACTCAGGTGATTTCTAGAGAATTCAGTTATTTAGATGGGACCTCAAAGTTCTGTTGATGCTTTTCTACCAGGAACAATGTCAACCTGGAGAGAGAGTCTGACTTGACATTACCCTGCATTTGCATCGTTATATATGAGGGTTGTGACTGATCAAGTCATGGTGCCAAGGTAGTATATACCTTTGGGAAATGTGAAGGTGGAGATTAGCTGGCCCATCTTTGAATCGACACTTAGAGAAGCATTTGTGTTTCATTGGAGAAATCAGAGACAAAGAACATGGAAGCCCTTTTGGTTCATTTCCTTCCACCCCAAGAGAATATTATGCTGAGGTAAGGAGAATGAAAAGACAAAAGGAAACATACCTTCGTTTCCATTTCCAGTCTTGGGGGTGGCTCTATGAATGTTGAGTAGATATCAAATGAGATTCCTTCTTCCAGAGGATCTGGGAAAGGGCAACCTGGAGGCTTCACAACCTCTATCACTTGCTGGAGGGGAAAAAAAGAGCTGAATTTATGGCACAGCCTCTAGTAAGCAACCACAATTTCAGTTTCCTTTTATATGTACCATAGTTCCAATCTGTAATCTTTCAATGCCATCTCCTCTGAAATCTTGATGCCATCCTCTCTTGGCTCTCTAGAACTTCATAGACTCCGTATCTCACGATCAGCCTTTTGTTTCTCCACTATCTTATTTTCTTTCTTTACTCTGTGGTTTAGTATTTCACTTTCTATTTCCTCGGTCTTTAATTGTTTCGTGTACTGGTATCCCCTTCCTCCTGTCTACAAGCTCTCTTTAGGTAGAACCAGATTTTAGACACCCTGTGATGCTTATTACATTCAACAGCCTAGTGGAGATGATATAATTTAGCAGAATGTAGCTGTTCAGAGGGCAGTAATGAAGTGACCGTCAAGAATTTGGTGATAAGGACATAAAAGGCTCTAAAGTTTAATAGGGGCTCCCCAAAGTCACATATTTAAGGCAAAGGGAAATTGCAGATAAATGTAATTTTATTTACATAATATTCATTACAAACTGTTTGCAAAATGTTCTCTACGTGTTGGCCACCTCTTTGTAAAATTTTGGGCCACCCTGTATATAAAGCCAGTGCACAGTAGCTCACAGAGGTTTGCCACAAACACAGAGGGCAGGGCAATACCTTCACTGTAAGCATTTTAATAAGTTTTTAGCAAGAGTGTGCTAATCATGAGGCTGATGGCTAGTCAACCAACATTGGGAATGGAGAAAAAGGAGAGCCAACCAAGCCTGTTTTGGTAGTGCCCATCCCAACATGACTTAGGAGAGAGAGAGAAGATGAGAGTACTAATGGCAAAAACATCTGAATCATTTAATTAGCTCCTCTTGTTCTAATGTTTGACAAGCAACACCTTGATCATAATTTGATTTCCCATCTCCATTGATCTGTAAAGACATGCCCATTTAAGCGTTCTGGTTTTCATGCCTGTTACATTCCTCACTGCAAATCAATAAATTGTTCTAGTTGAGGTAATAAATTCTCCTGAGCTCTGTTATTGTGGCCCCGAGATGAAGTCACCTGCTGTGTGGTGACAGAGTCAGATCCTGAGCTTACAAGTCAGGAAATGCATAAATTCACTAAATAATTATCATCCTGCGAAGCCTGAAAAAATAGTGAAATAATTGTATATTTACTCCTAACTTCTCTACAGTATTTCAAACAGACTTACATGTTACATTTCATCATTTAAAAATTAATGTTTTGGGTTTACAGTTCCAAATGTACTGGACCAAGTTTTTCTTGGTCTTACCAATGTGTGTACTTTGCATTGAATTAATATGATTCATTTTAAGTTGACTTTATAGAAATTCACTGCTGAGTGTAAATATACACGTCTTTACAGGCAGGGAGATTTGGAAACCAAGAGGTTAAAGGATTGGTCAAAGGTTAAATAACGACTTCGTGACGGGGCTGGGAATTAAACCCTGGTGCGCTGACTTCTTGGCCTATGCAGTTTTCAGTAAACTCTGCTACGTCACTCCATTGCCCTATTTGGAAATTATTGATATTATCAAGCACTTAATTTTTGTTCTTTTAGCTGACATCATTCCAGATTGTTTATCTTGCGTTGACTAAATGTTAATCCAAACAGAACATTGAGGAAACATGTAAGAACAGTTTTCTTCTCTCATCACAGTCACGAGCCATTGCATTTTCCCCAAATGGGGCATACAAGTATTTTCATCTTCCTACAGAATGACTTTGTACCTTTTCCCACCACTCTTGTTCTTCACCCTCCCACACCTTCTATTGCTTTTTATTTACCAAGCTAGGAAAAGGAGACAGATAAACATATTTTAGTGGCCTCTGAAACATGAGAGGTAAACTCAATAAGCTGCACATGGGAGGAGAGGCCAGGGCCAGTGAAGAGGTGTTTACCTAGTGGTACCGACTTTAATGTAGGGTGAGAAACAGGAAGTTTGGGGAGAGGAGGGTGAGCGAGAAATTGAAAAGAGAGAAAGGGATAGAAGTCACTGCATTTATTTCAGGCACTGAGGAAATCCGCATGAGTAAAGTATTTTTTTATGTAAAGTTATTTTTTTTTTTAATGCAGCAGAACTTTATCTGGTCTGCTGTCATCGGATTGGTCTTGCTGCTCTGCTCCCGTACACACAGGTGAGGCCTTTCTGCTAATCTGCCCTCTCCCTGGTGGATGTTGTGTAGATTGCCCCTCCACCCTGGAGAAGCAGATTCTACCGTCTGCCCACTAGTGCCCTTTCCTGCATCACGTTATACTGTGTACTTACATCTGCGCAGGCACTAGTACCCTCATTCTATCTCTCACATCCCTGTGGTCCAGATTTCTTTATAAGGCTCATCTGAATTACTTGCCAACGACCCAGTTTCTTGGGCTCTGGCACTGTGAGAAAGAGTGTGTGTGTGCATGTGTGTGTCTACTGGGCACACATGTGGAAACTCAGAACTTTCCAGATCCACATCATTTCTTTCCAGGAGTGAAACTCCCATGTATCCCAAGGAAGAACCTGAGGTTCTGAGAGTTGCGTTTCTTTCCTTCTCCTTGATTTATAGGAGTGTAGCTCATGTAACTGCTAACTTGATTTGATCTGTGCATACACAGTGGGGGTGAGTATTTCTGTCCTTCGGGGTGCTTTGTGTACTATCAATGAACCAGAGCACAGCTACGTTTTCCTCTTTTGTGAAGAATTACACTGAGCTACGTCGGTGAGATGCTGTAAGGGATAAAAATGTCCCAATTTCGGATGAGAAGTAATATTAAAGTCTTTTCATTAATAATAATAAGCTACACTGTCAAATACATAGTTTGAAATAAACATAATGCCCAAAAGCATCACAGTGATTTTTTTTTTCCCCATTAAAAATGGTAGCCTTTAAAAAAAACAAGTCGAAGGAAAATTAGAATCAATAATTGTGGTGAGAGCACAGAGCCAGCAAATATCTTTAAATGAAACCGTCTGATGCAATACTTTTCTTTAGAAAAACACAATTAGGCCTTTGTATTTTTTTTTTTAACAAAACCTCATGTTTTACAACATCACTGGTTCTGTAATAAAATCTATTTAAAACAGAGAGACATGGTCAGCTTTATTAAGTTAGATTTTGTGAGAGAACGGTATAATTTCCTCCAGTCTATGAATAGTTGCAGCAAATTAAATAAAGCTAGTTTTATAACTATTTTTATACATTCCTGTAGAATTGTAATTGTCTCCTATTTTTTTCCCTCCGAAGTCTAATATGTTACCTCTTAAATCTGGAAAAATAAAAACAGAAAAAGGATCAAGAATGTTTATTAAAAAAACACTCGCATTTGGTCCTCTGATTTCGCGACCTTCCTTTCTGTGTATGAGACTAGCACCCATAATCTTCAGATCAGGAAACAAAGGGAAGGACTTTAAGTGACTTGCCTGAGGCCTAATGCTGAGATTAAAAATCAGGAGTTTCTGATTATACACATACATCCATTTGGCCAAATGATTGGTTTTGCTTGACTTTCAAATACCCCCTAAATATTACTTTGAATGTAAAGCAATAAATGTGTTTCTCTTGCCATTTTTGAATGCTTGAACACAAATGGATACAATAAAAACAATCATGTTGTTCCATGTGAATGCCATTTATATTTTTTCTGATAATGAACAGACCATTTGAACCAAGGTGAGTACATTAAGGGCTCTAATAAAGAAGAGAATAGATTTCCAAACAGAATAATGGACTGTTAAGTGAACATACAATAAATAACATCTACAGATGTGCTTGCGAGAAAATTAGTTTTGCATAAGTTGCCAATATACATTTCCCCCAGATGTTATCTGTTACATGAAAATTAACTTCAGTTAGTTATATTGTTCATTATGTGCACATCGCATTAGTGTTATTTAAGGAGGTTCACATCTTTAGTTGAATTGTGTACTCCGGTCTTTAGAGTGGAGTTGTGCTTTCAGTTGAGTTGTGCCACGGTATTTAACGAATATCAAGTAAATGGCTTTTTGGCCTAATTTAATACTCAGAAGTACAAAATTTCATCTCCAAACATTATGGAGCTCAAAAAAAATTTCCTAAGATTTTGACTTACTAGGCAAATAAAATCAGCAGAAATCTTTAAAAAATTTTCCATATCCCATAAGAAATGGCCATCTACCATGGGAATACATGTTAAGAATTTTGAACTCTCTTGGAACTAAGCACAGGGTCAGTTTGGATCTAAAAACATAGTTATAGGAATGAGATTCTGCTTCCAGATCTTACTGCGTCTGTGAAGTAGTGTAAAGGGTTTATCTGGAAACTGTATTATTCATGCTCTCTTTTTCTGTTTTACATGTTGACATGATCAACGGTACGACGTGTTTACTCTGGTTTATTGCTTTTCTTTAGTAGCACTGCTTTGGAGACAATGTAGGCGATCTGTGGATTACGTCTGTACCACTAAAATCTAGAAGGATGGTAGAAATTATTAAATTATTAACATCTATTATTAAATTATTCAAGATATTAAAAATGCTGTTGAGATTACAACTTGCCACTATTTTGAATGGCAGAAAGCAAGATAAATCTGTTCAGCCCTTTTTGAGCCATAGCACGCAGACAAAAATACTGGTGTGCTTTGCACAGACATTTGTTTGGAATTGTCAGATGATGACTTCATATGCAAATCAGAACTTAACTAAAAAATGTCAAAGTTTCAAAAGGCAAACTTTATTGCAAACTTTTCTGACTATTAACTAAGGAAAAAAAGGCACAAAAATTCCTGTAAAC